ATTTGTTTCCTATGTTGGCATTCTATCATGTTCCTCAGCTCCTCTCTAGATTTATTAATCATGTCTTGCACTAGGAGCACAATTTCTCCTGTTACCTGAGAAATTATTTCTGATTTCATTTTTTTCCAGATCCCCTTTTGTTGCCAGTTCAGTGGGTCCAGGTGGTTGAATATCAGAGAGTTCCATCTCATTTCCCTTTGGGGTTGCTGTAGGTCATCTGGAATTCTGGTTTTGAGACTTATGTACATGCCTTCTCATTTTGACTGGAGGGCATGTGAGTGCTGTTGGCACCCGCCGTGCTCACCTCCTCTGAGCTGGGAGAGGTGGGACAGGGGCCGGGAGTGGTTGTAGGGATGGTGGCCCAGAAGCCCCTTCCTCTGTGTTGGGAGTGGCGGGACAGAAGGCGGCCCAAAAGCCCTTTCCTCTGGGCTGGGAATCTATTGGTTGATTTCTTGATAGCAGCCATTCTTTCTGGGGTGAGGTGGAATCTCAGCATTGTTTTCATCTGCATCTCTTGAATGATCAGTGATGTTGAACATTTTTTCATATGTTTATTTGCTGCTTTTACTTTTTTGTCTGAGAAATGTCTGTTCATTTCAGATGCCCATTTTTGAGTTGGGTCTTTATATTTGGGGGGTCTGATTTTTGTGTGTTCTTTATATATTCTAGATAGTAGACCTTTGTCTGAGGAACAGCTGGTAAAATTTTTTTCCCACATTGTAGGTTGCCTCTTAGCTCTGTTGGTGATTTTTCTTGCTGTGCAGAATCGTTTTAATAAGATGAGATCCCAGTTGTCAAGTCTTTGTGCAAGTGCCCATGCTATTGAGGATTTGTTCATAAAGTCTTTTCCTATGCCAATGTCTTTGAGAGTTCCATCTAACTTGTCTTCCAGCAAGTTTAGCATTTGTTTTAATATTTAGATCTTTAATCCACTCTGATTTTAGTTTAGTGCATGGTGAAAGATAGGGGTCTAGTTTTAATCTTTGGCAAGTTCTTCAATGTACTCTTATTAAAGCAGAATTTCCCCAAACATGAGCAGTAGTATTGTAAGATATTGAGCCGGAGAAGAAAGTTTCCATGGTTACATAATTTGGCAAACTGTGAATACACTAATTCTCTTGGAAATGATCTTCTATAGATGTCCCAGTCTCTGAAAGTTGTGCCCAGGTTGTCTATGGCATCTAAAGAACAGCTAGCACACAACAATAATAACAAATACAACAAAGCAAAACTAAGTATGCAGATGATCAGATGGCTGCTGGTTGAGAGCCATTTGTTTTGGTCATAGGATGCGTTCCAGGGAATGGGGGATGTGGAGGTGGGGTCCTTAGCCTGGCATGACAGCATGGGCATCATGGGCCATGGCAGTCTTCCGACACAGGAAGGAAAGGAGGGAAAGAAGCAACTGAATGGCCTTATTTTATTATGCAATGAGGTAACTCAGGCGCATTCAGTACTGAAAAAAAGAATTTCTTAAGACATACCTTGAGTAAATATATTTATGACTGTGTTTGCATTTATTATTTTAAGTAGCACCATTAGGGACATTCTGCAGATACATGTATAGTGGCATATTAATACAGCCCGTTTTTAACAAAAAGTCTGTCTCATGGGTGAAGAAACAACATCATAACAAAACAACAATAGTGACCCCAAGCTTTTGCCTCTATTTGTTTAACTTCCATTTGTTTTTTAAATTAATTGAAAGACATTCTAGGCATGTATAGGTATACGAGAGGAAGAATTTAGTTAATTAAGGAGGATCCCTAAGTCCCTAGGTGCACCTTAGGGATTTAAGGAAAAGATGCTCTTCACCCATGCTGCTGTTGAAGGATCTAGGCTTATCCCTCATTGGACCTTGAGCAGAGATATTCATGCAGTAGAAATGTGCACCAAGCATGGAGCTGGAGATGATCTGTCAGTGTGTGCAGAAGAGTGAAGGGTTCCCTTCACCCACACGACAAGTCCATCCACATGTTGAGTCTCATGCTGTGCAGACCCTGGGCGCCTCCAGATCCAGGAAGGATAGTTCTGGAGATTTCACCTGAATGCATGCATAATGCACACACATGCTCATTTGCCAGATTATATAATTATATATATTACTTGCTTAAGGAAATGATCATCTAAAACCAAATCAGGCAACATTTTGTTGTTTTCTATTATTATATTATATTTGTTCTGACCATTCATTGTATCTTTTCTCAGTCCAAGACAATAGTTATGTTCCTAAGTCTAGAGACTTGCTATACCTTTCTTGTCCTATCTCATAGTTCTGGGTTTATAGATGTTCAAAAACCAGTTGAATTGATGCAAAGCCTACAGTTGTCAGCCCAGGACTCTAAAAAAATTTCTCACACAATTACTGGGTCTTTATGAATTGGCAAGTTTGGGGAAAGTGTGTATGTTTGGGTGTGAAAACCAGACCAGGCCCTGCCCTTTACAATGTACTATCAAATTCATTATCTGGTTGTGCCCATAGGAAGCATGAGTGAAGGGTAAGAATGGTAATGCCTGTCTTACAGAAGAACCAGTTGTCGATCCCAGGGTTTAAGTTACCTGCTCAAGATCAGAGAAGTCCCCGCTGTGGTTCTGAATCTAGATCACCACAGGGATGGGAGATTGGCAAGGAGCAGAGAGCTCACCAGAAAGAGCAGAGATGACGGATGCTCTGCTGCTTCCCAGAGGGTAGAACAGTGACATCTGCTGGTTCAGTGAGAAACATCTGCATTAGTATTTCTTGCAAAATAGATAAGAACAATTGTCTTTTTGTTTGTTTTGTTTTGTTTTTTCTTGTTTCTTTTTGTTGTTGTTGTTTTGAGACAGGGTCTTATTATGTAGTTCAGGCTGGCCTTGAACTCACTATGTAACCCAGGGTGGCTTTGAACTTGTGGCTATCCTCCAGCCTCAGCCTCTTGAGTGCTGTGATTACAGGCCTGTGCCACCATGCCCTACTCGAGAACAATCATTTTGAAGGAAGTTGTGACATCAGCACTAACCTTTGTCTCAGGAACATGACCCTAAGTTCCACAGAGGGACATCATGTGACCTTTTTTCTTTTTGCACATTGTACATCAACGACTGTTTGTAACCCTCTTAATATCAAAATTCACAAGAAGTAGATCAAAGATCTGTGCATTTTGGGAGCTCCTTGTTGCTCAAGACTTTATCCTCAATTTGAAGGAGTGATGGTGGGGAATAAGTTACTTTCTTTCTTTAGGGAACTCTAGAATCACATCTTTCTGTGGGTGAAACTTATCCAACCAAGACTGAATTCTTTTCTAGATGACCCAAGATGTCATGATGACCATGATGATCTCCTAGCTCTTTGCTTCACTTAGCAACACACCCATGTCCCTTTGAACTCAATGCTATATTTCTCCCTTAGCAAAAATCTAATGCTCACTGAAAGTATAGTGAATGGAGGTGCTATTTTGGGCACATTGCATAATTTAAAAATTCTCTTCTTTGATAAATGAAAAAATATAAGACATGCAGACCCTCCATCCAGTGTCTTTTCCTAGATCAGATCTTTACCAAAATTGCTAGGAAACAGCATTACAGATAATTTGACCCTCAACCTCAGGGAACTGTGAAAGGCTCAGAGGGAAGCGAGAGACAGCAGCAGGTGAGAGCGAACAGGCTTGGAGAGCTGCAAACAGAATCATCAAGCATTGACATATTGGGATCCTTGAAGACCACTTCAGACTTCTCACCAGTTATTGGAAACTCATGCAGGGACCCGGGAACTTGCTTCATGTTTTGGAGCAGGGGGCATGGTGATGAGATGATTCAAGCTGCCATCTTCAGGTCTGTTGAGCTCTCTGTCCACTTGCTTTACAGAGCCCTGGTGATTTGTGGATGACATGGCGTTGAACCACACTGCCCTGCCCCAGGATGAGCGGCTGCCGCACTACCTTCAGGATGAGGATCCCTTCGTTTCCAAACTTTCCTGGGAAGCAGATTTAGTGGCTGGCTTTTACCTAACAATAATTGGTAAGCTTTCTTAATTCTGCTTTTAGAAAATTCACAGCCGACGTGGTGATTTTGTAAAAACAATCTCAGCACTTACGCAGGGTTTTAGTGGAGGTGAAGAGTAGGAATGGGGGTGGCATGATGGAATTCAATGAATATTTCATAGAAACGACTTTACTGTTGTCATTATCAGAGATAAATAGTCCACTGACAATCCAAAGAAATTTATAGCGAAATTATTTATCTCAAGATTGCATTTTATTTTGATTAATAAGTTTATCTTCTGAATATCAAACATGATGATAATGATATATTATTTAAACAGAGTGCTTTTAAAAAAATACTCTTGATACAATTGTAAGATTTTAGAGAAAGAATGAACCTTGGAAATCATCTAGTTCAGCTTCATTCTCTGGCTCAGTGCTGCAGGGATGGTAGATATTGCATTTACTTCATCTAAAAGCAAACTTCCTGCCACAAGAGCAGCTAAGGTGTTTTGATGAGAGTTGAAAAAAGTGCATTGGTGATAAGTAGAAGTCAACCTAGGACCAAAGGATTTTGTGGCTGATCCACACAGGAAAGCATCTGCTCTAGACTGTGTGGTTCAAGCTGTGGCCCCAGGTACCCCCTGTGGATACCTCCTGTTCACTTCCAAAGGCTTGTGCCATCATGGAAATACATACCACCACCGAAGTCTTAGTGTCAGAAAAAATCATGCAAGTATCTCATTAATCATTTGGAAAAACCGAATCCATGTTCAACCTACAATATTTTGGATTGGTTGGATTAAATTAAATTCTAGGTTATTAGAATTAAGACACCTATATATTTCTACCTTGCATAGTGTGACTACCAGGAAGATTTAAAATACATGTGTAGCCCACATTTCTGGTTCACATTATGTTTCTATTGGGCTGCACTAATGTAGATCGATTAAGGTTTAATCACAATACTTCAATTTCAAATCGTTGTCTTAAATTTCGGTGACTAGTGGGCAAGTGGGTTGTGTCTTGAGGTTTACCTGCCTTTAATCTTTTTGGATGGTGGGGCAAGATGACTCTCTTTCTTTCTCTCTCTCTCTCTCTCTCTCTCTCCCCTTTCTCTCTCCTTCCCTCCCTCCATTCTTGTTCCTTCCCTTTCTTTTTCTCTTCTTTTCCTCTCTCATCTACTAATTATGGGCAAAAAATGTCATTTCATTCCCAAAATGAGAAAAACTGATTAGAAAATTTTGAGACTCCTTTATGGTGAGTGGTTGAGGCAAAAGGATTGCGAGAATGAATCAGAAACTCTGCTGCAAAGTGGTTCCCTGGGTCCTGGACTTCATTTATTGCTAGTTAGCATTTTACTCATTTACCTCATATACACTGACTCCCACGTCCTCTGAAACACAAATATGTACTGAGCACCCGCTCTGCCACTGTTCCAGTGTCTGGAAGGGAGTGGTGAATCTGAACACTGTGTTGGCACACTCTCTGATAGGATGATCTGATAGTAAAATCCACATTGCTTTTTTTTAAAAAACAGAATGTAAGTACTTTCAGTGATCAGAAAAGGCATTTGAATGGAATTGAACCCACTCAATCTCAAGGAATGAATTAAAAGTAACATCTCTAACCAGATAGATCTCTCCAGACAATATAACAGAGGGAGGTGGGCACACAGTCCATTCCCCATCCTAGCAAGGGTTTGAGGGAGACAGAAAACCCAGGATGGGCAGGTGGGGAAATCAGGAGTTTCCCACTGGATGTATGTGGAGTTGGAAGGGAAATCACCATCATAGTAAGATGCCATGCTGGGGTGAGAGGCTAGAAGATCAGGGTCCAGATGAGTCCCCAAATGCAAGAAATGGCAGGTGAATCAGGGTGCTGGGTGGAGACAAACCTGTCATTGAAAAGTCTGTCAGCATGATGAGCTCATTGCAGACCCAGGCCTGGCCCTCTCTTCAGATAGATTTTGTTGTTGTGTCCAGATTCCTCTTAAGGAGTCAGGGTGAAATGAACAATAGTTTTGGTCATTTTTGTTGAATGCTAGACAACTTAGGAAGACCAAAGACTGGAAATAGAAGTCTGCATGTGGAATGCAGGAGAAATAAATTAGAAGCTCCTTTTCTACTCTCGTCTTTTACGTTAACTGTCTATATATGAGGGTTTTTGTATTCATAAAAAGATTCAGGATTTTGATAATCTAAAATTGTTCACCACATACCCTTTATCCTCTTCATCTTATTTTCCTTTAACTACCGTTAAAAATAAATTCACTTCTTAACACTCACCTGCAGATAAGGTTGCCTGTGGAAACACTTTACATGCATCTAAAAGAGAGTGCATTGTTTTTTGACCATGCTTTGGGCACTGAATGGAAGCTCTAGGAAGTAGAGTTGGCAGAGAAAAGTTAAGGAAGGACAAGTAAGAAAACAAATATTCTCCAAGGAGATGCAGAGAGCCAAAGGGTGTGGAAATGAGACTTGTGTATTGAATGCATATGCATACTCACTGTATTAATCTCTTTGTATACAACGTAGGTGCAATTTGCTTTATTACTTTTCAAGTTGTACTTTCACACTTTACTTTCCCAGCATGCCTTGCTGGATGGGTCCCTTTAATGAGACCTAAGGGTCATTGTAGTTGGTTTGCTCTAGGACTCTAAATCTCGTCCATTTCTCTCCTCTTCTGCTTTAAAAGAGCTAAAGAGGTTTTAACAGACATTGAGCAGCATGGCCTCCAAAGAGCTCCCTGTGGCCAGTGCCTGGTGGTTTCATACCATCGGCCGAGACACACATTTCTTTCCTTGCCCCCAAAATGAATTGTGGTGGAGAAAATAAAATAGAAATTAAAACAGAAAATATGGGTGTCTCGTGTTAATACTCTCCTTATTCCTTACTACCAAAGGCAGCTGTACCAGATTCTCATTTATACACAGCTACACTATGAAGCAAGAATTCCTGAGGAAATCTACTCTACATGTTAAGCTATGGAAGTAGGTGTATTCTTTTCTTAAATATAGTCAGCAGGGATTGGGTCTTTTTGGATTTAAACTGGGTTTGTAAGAACTTTTGAACAGTTTCATTATAATGCCAAAGCCAATTAGTCATTAATGGAAGGCTGTGAAGGTGGGAACACATTGTCGGTAGGTGTGGTGGGTGGAGGGTCACTTTCTCTCCCCTTGGTGGGAGGGGAGTCAGCACTGTGACGCGCTTGCCCTTGATACCTCGCCTAGTGGCAGCTGAAGGGTGTCCTGTCTGCCAGACTCCCTGCATCCACGTGTCTTGGGACCTTCCCAGGAGGTGACTGTTCCTGGAAGGGGTCATGCCAGCCTCCTTTGGCCCCTGTGCTCCTTCAGGAGCCCACAGTGGTACTGAAATCACCTTTGGTGGTTGGCTTCAGCTTCAGAACTTACCAAGAGCCAAGGGCTGACTGCGCCCCAGAGGGAGGGAGTTGTGTAACACCAATAGTCTATAACACGGATGAAGAAAATACTTACTCCACCCTGGGGCTGGTTCAAGAACTGAGCACTGGGATTCCCATCCCCTTCAGAGCCTAACTGGGAAGGTAGTGGCTCTTTTTCCTGGGTAAGTTCAGTCATATGATCCCTGAATCCTGTCCCTCTGGAGGGGACCCATCCCATGCCTGTCACTCAACTCATGCTGTTTATTTCATTTTCTTAATTTAGATTTTTATTTAGAGTCCTCTCATTACCCTCTAATTCTATGGTGTCCATTTTTTTAAATTGAGAAGTGTTTCATATCCGAATGAATTCTAAATCCTCGTTTTAACAATGGGAATTTTTATTTTTCTTTGTAGGGATTCTGTCCACATGTGGAAATGGATATGTCCTTTATATGTCTTCTAGACGAAAGAAGAAATTGAGACCTGCTGAAATAATGACCATTAATTTAGCCATCTGTGATCTGGGGATTTCAGGTAAGGCAATCTTCCTATTTCCTCTTTGTAGGTTTAAACCATTCTCTGTTCCAAATCTCTCACTAGCTCAGATATCACCCCAGACCCCATCCATTGCCGCTCTTCCTTTCCAAAAATCCTATTTACAGGGTTTGTGGTTTTTCAGTGAATGTCAACTGGCTAAAGAGATCGTTCACTTGTTTAACATTTATTGAGTAATTTCTATGTGCCAGAGATGTCAGATCCTAAGGATACAATCTGCAGTAATATACAATATCTTGCACTTCTCAAAGTTCAGAAATCTGAAACTTACAGGCAGATTCAGGCCTGTCTCTGTGTTCAATCCACCTACATGGAATTCTGGATAAAATAAAGACCAACTGGGTGGGACTTTGAAGGTGAATGACAGCAAAGCTAGTTGAGAGGTGACGACAAGACAGGGGAGTGCTTCCCAGCTCAGGTCACATTTAACTATGGTTCTGAGACTGACTGTAAGCAGAGGAAGCCTCTGGTTCCATGCTGCTAAAAGGCGACTCCACGCAAAAACACTTGGGGACCTTAAACAGAATTCTCCTGCCTGGATTCCACACCCAGAAATTTAATTTAAGTACTGGGGACTATTACCTGGGCATCAGGATATTTAAAATTAGAATCTCCAGTTTAGCTGGTGTGTGGACAAACTCAAGAACCACTGATTTCTTTCCTGAATTTTTTGCATCTTTGATAAGCTCTCAAAGAAGAGTTAGAATAAAATTTCTCTTGAACTACAGTTCGTTATAAAATAGGAATGGTTTTGGATAAGCCACACCTCATCAGTTTCTTCTATAAAGTTCCAGGGCTGCCCAGCTCTAATCTTTGGATTTCAACCGCCAAATAGCTTGTAGTCTTAGGTAGAGAGAATTGGGAAATACATGTGAACAACATTCAGAAACATCGTTGCCTGCCAGCAGATTTTCACCTAAAGCTTCCTTTTCAAAGTGGATTTTTTTCTGCTGCTGCCTGTTCTAAAAGCCAGGCTCAATAACAAACTTCACTGCCACACAGCATAGATGTGTTGCCCTCTTTTGAGACCTGGCCTGGTCTTGATTATTAGGGAAGGCTTCCCGTGGGAGGACCGGCCTCAACCCCACCGCCTGCTAGGTAAATGTAATGCACATGTGCCAGGCCCCTTTCTGTGGCAGTCAGGACGGGCCCAGGAACTTTGCAGGGCAGCACAGTGGCTGCCATCTGGGCCGTGGCCACATGAGGGCGGTGCTATGACAGGAATGGTGGCTTTCCTTGCTGCCCCAGAAGTTCTTTCCATGGGTATAAAAGGCCTGGATGTCTTTGGTCACTTCCAGCACACGTCAGGTGAACACTGGCCTCAGGCTTATCACACTAGGTGTGAATAAAAATGTCCTTAATTGGTCTGATACACTGAAAATGCTCCCAGCTGAGCAAGTCTGTTCTGAAATTGCACAAACCACCTCATTTATTCTGCTGTCTTTAGAGCAATTCACCAGAAACCATTTTCTTCCCCTTCATAGAATTTTCTGATTAGCCTAGATCATTCTGAGCATCTATAATAACTTTCTCTTCCAATAAACCTTAAAAGTTTTATATTTTTTCCCCCCTTGCTCAATGTATTTTAAGCACCTTGGAAAAGTACACTTCAGAGACCACCTATATTGCCCCTGTGTGACCACTCTGTGGTGTCCAAATACCTAGAGCCAGCAACTGTGAGACATACTACAGTAACCTCATATTGCTGAGGCATTAACTAAAAAAGAACCCCAAAACAAGAAAACTATATTGATGCCTGGGCTCATCTAGATGAATTAAATTTGCATATTGAAAGGGTTGGTGGAGCCCTGGACATTGATATTTACAGTGGTTTTCAACCCCAGCCTGCTTCGAAGCTTCTGCTGGCTGGAGGGCTGGAAGGAGACACTGTAGTGACACCCGCAGCTCATGGAAGCTCTGCTCCAATGGGTGCTTCCAATCACTCTGACTGGTGGGGCCTCAGGTATAACAGACCCAGCTCACTCCAGTCTGTCAACTTCAGTGGTCTTTTTCTTGCCTCCAGAGTCCACCTTCCAGTGCCACCCCCAGCCCATGAGTTTGCTGTCCCCTCTCCCTGGAGTTTTCTTCCTCTGTGACTTCTTGCCCACTCACTTGGGCACTGACCTCCGTATCACCTGGACAAGCTCTCAGAGGAGGTCCGTGGGCTCCCCTGGGCTCTGGGCAGAAACACTGGGAAGCTGCTGGACAGATTTCCGAAGTCCTTTCCAACTCTAGCATTCTTCTACCTTTTGCGTGTCCCTTATCTCACTGCTTCCTTGAAAATATTCAGCTTTCTGGGGTTTCTTAAGTATATTTTATTTGTTGATTTTAACAACAACAAGACAAGGCAAAAGAGAAAAATGTTGCACATATTTTTAATCAATCAAAGGACAAATTCAAATTTCGGAGAAAGTTATCTACACTGTTCTTTAAAATCAGTGTGGATCTCACCTCCTCTGGCTCCAGGGCAGGGTGTGATCTCTACTCCCCTGAGAGGGTTCCACCTCCCTTCTGAATTCACCCTGAGAGCCCCTTTGTTTTCTAAGGAGGGCTTTCCCAGGTAACCACCTCTCTCCCTCCAAGCCTTTCACAGGCCATGACTCCTAAAGCACAAGTTGCCTCTGGGTATTAGAGACCAATTCCCTGTTCTGATAGGAACCTTCTGTCCTGCACTCAGATTCTAAGAAGTCGCCCTGGATGTCACCATACTATTCTCTCTCTCTCTCTCTCTCTCTCCCTCTCCCTCTCTCTCTCTTTCTCTCTCTTTCTCTCTCATTCTGTTTGTCTACCATCTCTTCTTTCCTCCATTGGTTAAATTAATTTTTTGGGGGGCATTTTATTTTAAAAAGTTGTATGGATCCCAGAAATTTCTGTGCATATCACCATTATAAATCTATCACTATCCTGTGTTAACAGATTGAGTACCAAAAATCCTAACCTCAGTAGATGCAGAAGAACTCAACAAAACTTAACATCAATTTCTAGTAAGAAACAAAATTCTTAACAAACTAGTGTGGGAAAAGAGTCTCTTGTTTGATAAGAGGGAGCAAAAATGTCCACTTGATGAAACATTTAAAGTCTTTAAAGTTAGCCACACTACATGGGTGTCTACTATGATTACTTCTATTTTACATTGTAATGGAAATCCTAGACATTGAAATAAAATAGGAAACCAGTCAAGTGGGTTAAAAACTCATTTGACTAATAGATCTTGAGTCTCTAAACATTCTGGAATCAGTCTTGGAGCTGGGAGACTTGGGCAGTGGTTCTGATGGGACCCTTACTCCAGGGCGGATGTCTCCTTTTGAAGAACTCTGCGTGGTTAAATGAGACTGAACTTCGTAATCTGTGGAGCAGGATTTTCTGCAGCAGAGTTTTGTAGTGAATATCTGGGAAATTCTATGGCACACAATGATAGTTACTTTTCTAACTTTTGGAAATTTTTAGAGCCTTGAATGTTGACTACCAAGAAGTGTGTACACTAGGTAACCTTGCCCAGTATTATTTGATTATGTAAGTATGTTTGTCTGTGTGTTTTGGAGACTGACTTATGGGATCAGGGTTTGAAGGTCAATACCTAATGGAGCTGGCTTGGGGCTGTGTGAATGGTGAAGTGCAGTGGACAGAACCTAGTTCCCACCAGTCCTTCTGGCCACTCAAGCTCGAATGTCCAACTTTGGAGGGAAGAAAAATAATGGCATCTTGAGCACAATGTGGGGGAAAACCAGTGTAGAAAATGTGTGCCTGAATATTTTCTCTCCGATACTTCACTGCGGGTATATTCCTTTGACTTTCAAATGAACTATTTCAATAAAACATTAAAAGTGAGCAGATTGCTGTCTCTGCCCATGGAAATCACATCTCTTGTACACCCTAAAGCTGGGTTTGTCAGAGACAATTCTTTGTATAATAATTACTTAAAAATATTCCTCCTATATCCCTCTGATATCTTTGGCTGTTCAGATGACTGGAACTTCAGACTCAATTTATCCAAAGACAGCTCCCAGAATTCGGTTAACCCAGAGGTTCAGTGCAGTGAAGGGTGTGCGGGGGTGTGTGTGTGAGCTGAGCAGGGGAGGAAATTGTTATCTTCCCTTGACACCTGCCTGGTGCTCAGTTGTAGGCAAGCCGTTCACCATCATCTCCTGCTTCCGGCACCGCTGGGTGTTTGGCTGGATCGGCTGCCGCTGGTACGGATGGGCTGGGTTTTTCTTTGGCTGTGGAAGCCTCACCACCATGACTGTGGTTAGCCTGGATCGATACCTGAAAATCTGCTATCTATCTTATGGTAAGTTAGAAGGTTTCTCATTCCCGGATAGTCAGTTAGATCCATTGAGTATCAGATTTGTACATTTTTATGCAGTTAAGAAATAAAGATTATGAATAACCTCAGAGACCAAGAGCATTTCTATCTATAGTCTATCTTGTTCTAATGTATGTTTAAAGATTCGACTGTGTTATTGTAGATTTCTTTTAAGACTACTTCTGTAATAGTGTCTGGTGTTGGGCTCCTGCTTTAAAAAAGAGTCATTTCTTGTATAAAGTATGCAAGTGTTGTCATGTTTGTCATGCAAACATCATACAGAGATGCACTGACAGATGTCAGGTCTGGATGTTTGGTGGATTTCCTACCTAGTAAGTGCAATGATAAGAAAAGCTGTTTGTGATTCTCCTTTAGGACTCCTTATGATTTCAGAGATGAGGAAATCCAAAATACTCACCTCCAACAGCAAAGGGCCATGCAGCTGCCCTCGCACCAAAGGACACACACAGAAATCCACCCCACAGTTGGTTGTGGTGTTGGTAGGTGGGAAGATGCCTGACTCCAGGACCTGGTGAGGGAGGAGTCAGCAATGAACATGACTTTGGAGCCTCAATAATTCACTTTTTAAATATTAGCCCATGCTAGTGGTTAGAACAACTTTTAGTACTTTTGCTTCTTGAAGTTCCAGGAATTGAGTAGACCGGAAGAGAAGGTTTTGGGCATTTAAGTTCAGTACTGAGAGGCAGGCACCACCCTGGAATCATCCGATGCCTGTGTACGAGGCTGCTTTGGCGGTCAGTGTGTCCTTGGGTGCCTGTGACCATGGGAACTCAGTGTGGCCAGGATATTGAGGTAGGAAAGATCAAGTCCACCTGGCTCTCTCAGTAGAGTAGAATTTCATTATATTATATAATATAATTTATTTTTTGTGGTACTGGGGATTGAATTCAGGGCCTTCAAACTGAAACACATCCCCAATTCTTTAATTTTTTAATTCTTTTTTTATTTTGAGACAAGATCTCACTAAGTCACTAAGTTGCCCAGGCTGGGCTCAAACTTTGATTCCCCTGCCTCAGCCTCTCAGAGTGCTGGAGTTGTAGTGTGCACCACCATGGCTGACTCCCTTTATATTTTCAAAGTTTATACTCCCCGGGCTCTGTGGGACCATGAACTGGGGTGTGGGAAAAGCCCTGTAACACTATCTGCCTGATACAATGTCTCTTTTTCTAAACATTTACATCTTCCAATAGAAATCATTTGAATCAAAAATTCCAAAAAAGTTAAAAAATCCAATGCTATATATTCAGATGACATTAGAGCCTCATTCATTTCATAAACTTATTTTTGGTCATGCCAAACAGAATTTAAATTTAACTTAATTTTATTAACAAGAAGGCAAAAAGCTCGACTCCCTGTGAGATTCTGAGGAATCCAGAGCCTTGGCCTCTCTGCTTTCAAGTATTTTCTTGAGTGTGAGCTTTGGGTCACCACCAGGACCACTGCAGGGTGTAACTTCCTGGGTGAGCTATGCGTAGATCTCCCAGCTTCTGTGAGTTTGAGCCCCAGTCATACCGTCTTATCGGTTAGTTAAATGCACTATACGACCCTCCACACAGTGCTTCACCATGTGGGAACCAGGAGGTCACTTGGGGACAGCGTGGTAAGCTGTCTGGAGGCCTCCCTGAGGGAGGACCCCTTGGCCTCTTCCTAATTCCAGTGACCAGTGACGGGGAGCTTACTACTGCACAAGGCAGCCTGTTCTCTGATTGGTCTGCTCTCGCTGTTACAATGTTATTCCTTATATTGAGACAAAACTGCCTCCCAGTAACCTCCTCCCATTGGTCCTAGTTCTGACTTCTGGAGCAACACAGAACCAATCTACTAATCTACTCCCTCCTGTCTTGACAGCCTTTCACCACACTCGAACGTAAGTATGAAACACCTCACTAAGTCACCCTAACCGTGAATGCTTATGCGTCTGCCTCTGCACATTCTCGTGAGCCTATGTGGTGATCCCTGCCGATGTTCTATCTGCTCTGATGGATAACCGAGAGCTGACATCTTGTGTGGCTACATGACTGCTGTCCTTATCTGGTTGGGGCTTGAGAAATTTGGATTTCATGATATGAAATCCCGAATATTTGGAAAACTGGAGACAACAGAGTGTAAAAGCAATCAGTTGAATTTCTTGTTAGTGTTGAATGAGACACGTGGACACGGGGGTGCAGATTCATGTCAACCTAGGTCTTCATAGTTTGTCGATTGGGTCCTTCACACCATTCACAGAACCCTTATTACACCTGTAAGCAGTGTATTTTTATTTCCTCCATTTTACTGTTAAGCACACTGGATATCTGGAAAGGTTCCATGAGCAAGGTCAAATCCAAGAAACAGAAGAATTAGGGCCACACTGACTTTACCTGTCTCACACTGCTCAGAGTGCAGGCAGACAGTGAGCCTATGATGAAGATTTCACTTAATTTTTATTGAACATATTTTGATATTTCTTCTCCGTTGCTCCAAGATCAATGCATAGCAAGCTCCTTCCCTGGCCCTCTTTGCAGAAGTAATGAGTGAGGGGTGGAGGTGCTGATGTCCTGTGGCTGCCACAGCCTTAGATCAGGGTGACTTGTTTTGGGTGGGTGAGGGGCGTGTTAAACCTTGGAAAATGATCTCTAGTGCTTTACAGCTTTTTTTTTTTTTTTTTTAGATAACTGTACTATTTCTTTCTTTTGAATTCTCTTTTAGTTAAGAAACTAGTGGTGAAACCTGGACTCATTTTTTCATCTTTCTGAAAATATTTTCACAGAATTACTTTTGCAGATCATAGTATAAATGTCTTAGATTCTCAGCCTGTTCCCCCTTGGCTGTGCCAGAGTGACTGTCGTAGGAATAAAGTCTGAAGACTCAGAATCTGCTCCACAAATGGCCAGGGACAGACCCCCTCCCTGGTCTTGTCATGGTCCCAACTCAGTAATCCCCACTCAGCGCCTTTCTAGGAAGTCAAAGGGGCATAGAAACACAGGAGCTTTTAGGAGGAAGGGATTGTAAAGACACAGCGATGATGTTTTGTGATTTCTCACCTCCCCAAAGGATTCTCCCTTGGACTCTTGGATGACCCACTAACACACGTTTTTGAGATGTTTTCCCAAGATCCTCTTTGCCTTCAGCATTCTCCTGTCTTTTGCTTTCTGTCCTATCTACCTGGCCTTTGCCGCTTCTCCCTCCCAAAGCTCCAGGTGCCCAGAGAAAACCTTCCCTGTGACAATCTCTTCACATGTCACTCTCCTGGAGAAAGACCCCTGCTCTGGACCTCGCCCTTCACCACATCTCCCTCAGGCTTCCATTATCTGCCCACGTCTCCCAGCATTCAGTGGAATGAATCGTTGGAGGTGGAGTGTGACGTGCCGAGGGAGGTGCTCAGGTGCAGGGCAGATGGCATCCAGGTAACACTGTCCTTCCACCTCCAGGGGTCTGGCTGAAGAGAAAACACGCCTACATCTGCCTCGCAGCCATCTGGGCCTATGTGTCCTTCTGGACCACCATGCCCCTAGTAGGCCTGGGGGACTACGCGCCCGAGCCCTTTGGGACCTCCTGCACCCTGGACTGGTGGTTGGCCCAGGCCTCGGCTAGGGGCCAGGTCTTCATCCTGAACATCCTCTTCTTCTGTCTGCTGCTCCCCATGGCCACCATCGTGTTCTCCTATGCCAAGATCATCGCCAAGGTGAAGTCCTCCTCCAAAGAGGTCGCCCACTTCGACAGCAGGATCCACAGCAGTCATGTGCTTGAGATGAAACTGACAAAGGTAACGATGGTCACAGTTCATGGAGGGGTTTTCTGGTCAGCTGGAATTGCAGCTGGCAAGGAGGGTTGGGAAAGTTGGGCCTGGGGAAACCTAGAACCCTATGTTAATGCACTTCTGAGGTTTGTTACTTCTGATCTAAACCTTTGTAGACTCTCTCTCCTCTGTCTCTGCCTCTTACATAAACACATGCAGACACACACCTTTAAAAAACTATTATTTTATTTCCAGGTGTTTTGCTTTGTTTTGCAGCATTGGATATTTGACCTAGGACCTTGCTAGGCAAATGCTGTGCTACCGAGCTACAAGCCTGGCCCACACATGTTTAAACATCTACCAAATTGGGGCTTATTTTGTCTATGGAGTAGGATGCTATGGATTTTCAATAATTCTTTCAGTAATTAGAATAATGGTTATGTATCATGTAATGCCATACAGTGTTTACTGTTTTGCAGGGACCTGGGTGGGCAGTGTAAGGACATTCTACCACTTGGTTATTCAGAGACAGTGCTTCCTATATAAGCTTTCTGATGGTGAACTTGTCTTCACACATGAGAAATTACTTCAGGCCTTGGTCCTTTGGCAAATGCTGGTTCCAGAGTTGACAGTTCTTTAGATGCTGCAGGGTAAGGAAAAGCAATCAATTGGGCAACAGACTTGGGTTTTAATCATGTTGCCAACACAACAGTTCTGGGACCCAGAGTTGGAAACTTAGCCTCTTTGAATCTCTGTTTCCTTACATTTTACCAAGAACGGGAATACCTGTCTCCTTGGGCTATCGTGGACATGCCATGAAATAAAGACCTGCTGTGTATTATGTGTTAAAGGAACTACAGTTTCTCATTTTCCTGGTGCCTTTTAGAAATTCTTGATAAATTCTAATTGATCATGTTTCCATATTTTACCCCTTTATTGAAAAATATATCAAAGTCTATCTTATGTTATCGTGCTGTCTTAGTTACTTTTCTCATTGTTGAGACAAAATACCAGACAACCAAAGTTAAAGAAGAAAAGGATTTTTTAGCTCACAGTTTGTAGAGGTTTCATTTCATAGCTGGCAGGCTCCAGAGACATCACAGAGGAGAAACAGTTTATGGCAGGCAGAAGGCAGCAAGGCACCAAGTTACAAGTGATAAGCAACAAGCAGGGACCTTCTTTCTGTCCTTTATATCCTATCCTTAGGGCAAGTTGCACTCACACTAAGGGTGAGGCATCCTTAATCCTAGCTTCACACCATGAATCAATCCCAGCATCACTTCCTTGAGCCCAACATCACACACCCTAGATCCAGTCACCTCTGAAAAGCCCTACCTATGACCACATGAGGCGGTGGGGGGACATCCAGATACAAACCATAACATGTACCCTAATTTCTATTTTAATTTTAAAGATAAAAGTAACTGCATGTTGAATTTCTAATCATTCCTTTCTGTATCCTAATCAATCATGTTGATAAACAGCCCTCTCTCAAGCGTCCTCATAGCCTGTTTTGGGGACCTCTGGTTTCAGGGACCTTCAGCAACATACTTCTCTCCAGACTGAAAATGTTCTTGACAAATTAGGGACTTCCATCCTAGGAATGGTTCTCTTTAAATGGCAGTTTTTGAGGCTTTGCCAAGTCCTCTTGGGTTGTTCTAAATATACCAATAACTTATTAATAGAGGAGTTCTTGGATGAAAATGCACAATCTTTAACTCTTTCTTGTGATTTTATAAAATAAATCTAATCCAAATTAATCCAGCTAAGTTTAGATTGGATTTAAGCAAAATCCCACTCTGTACCAAGTACTGTTTTAGAAACTGGGAAACCTTACCAAGAATAAAATTTCTCCTTTCAATAGAAAACAAAAGTGAGGGAAAGAATGGAGATATGGCCAGAGAAGCAATGTGATGCCTGTCCCATCAGGCTGTGGTGGGATTTGTCCTCCAACTGATGCCTCACCTTATTGTCATCCCTAGTGATGGTTCCAGCCGTGACCTGGTTTCCAGGAGCCTCTGAGTCTGGTGCTTGTCTCCTCTTTCCTGTTAGCTGAACTGCTCAGCTGGCCCTGCACACATTCGAGACTGTGTTCTTTATGTGTGCTTGAGGGCCCGATTGCTTGTTCAGTTGAGGCTTCTCAAACTTCTCTTTGTGCATATGAGATACTGTACATATGAAGGGTAGCTTAGCATATGCAATTTAACTTGATTTCTTGTGATAATTCTGCTCGACTGGACTATGCAGGTCCAATTGTTAGGTTCATCCTAGACCAGACTGATGAAAGAGATGTTAAATGAAACAGGTAGGAATATATATACATATGAATGATTTTGTTTTATTTATGTATATTCTTCTAACATATACTGAGTTTATATAATAGGTTTACATTTCATCTGTATATAAAACTTATTTTAAAATAAATCAAATATAAAATGCTTCTATTTATTAATATTGATGCAAAAATGCATGTCAAAATTCAACCATATTAAAAAATGAAACTTTCCGCTGTGACATTGGTCCTAAATTTAAACTATTTTCAACTACTACTCAATTTTGACCTTGATTTCTCCAAGCGGCTAAATTCAGGAAGAAACAGCCCTGTACTGGGGCTTTCTCCTATCTTAGATGTCTTCTTCTCCATTCAGCCACTGCTTAGTGTCAACAATTTGCTCATTCACTTGGTGCTTTTGATCTTCAGAACAGCCTGCTCTAGAAGCTTGTTACTTAAAGCTTGTTTTCCTGGTTTCTGGAATCAAAATCATTTAGTTTCCTATGTGTCCTAATTATTTCTACTTGGGTTATTATCTGAGCCTTCTTTCTGCTGGTCTGATCTCATCAGGCTAAAAACTGGCATTCTTCTACAAACTTTCCTCTGCTTTGTAGGTTTCTTGTAATTAAATTTTTAAAAAAATGATAATTTTGTTAGACTTTTGTAGCAGCAAAAATTTCTTTAAATGATGATTTTGTTACTTTTGTAGCAGCAAAATTTCAGACTACAAATGTAGGTGCATTTCTGTCTCTGTAGTGTTCTCTCTTTCTCTCTCTCTCTCTCTCTCTCCTGAGTCAACATAATCTCACCTTGAGTCCTTCTAAAACAAGACTCATATTGAGCAGTCAGGGATTTTCCTCCTCTTCCCAGGGCCATCATATGTCCTTGGGTGTTTTTCACAGTGCCATGGTGCCAGTGGTTAGGTGCTTCTGGCCTGGTGGCTGTCACTCATGAACTTGATGCTGTGAAGATCTTTGACTCCTTCTGGCCTTGGTGACAGTTGTCCTGGGGGCCACTGCGTCTTCCTCTGCCAACCATGTGGGCTCAGCAACACTGTGAACTGCATCCTCACCCCTTCTACTCAAAAGACCCAGGAGCAATTCAGTGAAGACCCTGGGAAGTGAGGTGCAAGTTTTGTGCTCTTCTGTCCCCAAATGTGTTGAGGGCTCTATTGCTTTCTTTGTCCCATGCCTGCCCTGGGTGCTAAGCCAGGTCGAGGACATCTTCTCAAAGTCAAGTCACTGGCTCCCCTGATGTCCTTGCCTCTGTTGGTGGGAAAGCTGGCCTGCTCTGCATCATTCACAGAGGAATTTGAGTGTCACAGTCCTGCAGGCTTCTGGCCCTGGATGCTCAAAGTCATTTCCCCCACACTCAAAGCTCTTTTACCCTCAACTATTTTTTCTCCTGTAAGTTTCACATTTCTATTTTGAAACTGAGAAGCTGAGAAATGAATGTTTTATTTCTTTGGGTGTTTCTGCATGTTAAATATTCACACAATGCAGGGAGAACTCTGGCTGCTGATTGACAGAGAGGAGAAGGGGTGAGACCTCGGAAGCTGGGTTCATTGCCCACCTATTCCCATTCCATACACGTCAGTGCTTCATACTCTGTCATTTGGCACAGGTTGGAGCCCTGTAATGCCCAGACCTGCAGCAGTGTCCAGATCCAGTGGGCACCTGGGTCTCTCTTGATGTCACTTACTTCCACCAGAAAGCCTTCCTGACCCCTAGCTGGGTGAAGTCCCCTGCTGTGGACCATCAGAAAACTAGATGTTGGTAGCCCTTGTCCCAAGGAGTCCTGTGCTGCCCCTCTGCTTTTGCAGGACAGCGTGTGAGAGGAAGGTGTGTTCTGTTTGCTTCTGTACCTGGGAGCCTGGCACCTGCCGGACATCTAATCAGGATTGCTTAAATGAGTGTGCAATTGAATAAATGAATCTAATTACCTTGGAGACTGCTAAGAGGCCCCTTGGGCCCTGGTGTGGGTGTCTTTTTCTCTTCCACACACTGGATAGGACATGTTGCTTTGTTTTGCTCTTTCCCATTGATTGTGAAGGATTGTTCAAACCCTTGAACCGTGAAGCTCGGCTTCCCTCAAAGGACTCCTCTCCTTTGTTGCCCACAGAATGTTATTTATCAGTAAGGAATGGGGTCGGGGACTCCCCGGTGGACTCTAAGGGTAGTTTGTGGAAAAGCTGGACCGTATTGCTGTTTTTCTCATTTTCCTTCTCCTCTCCTCTCCCTCCCTCCCTCCTTCTCTCCCTCCCTTCCTCCCTTCCTTCTTTTTGGTACTAAGGATTGAACCCAGAGCCTTTGCATCCCCAGATCCTTTTTTATTTTTATTTGAGGCAGAGTCTTGCTAAGTTGCCCAGGTGGAACCAAAACTTGCAATCCTCTTGCCTCCGCCTCCCAGAGTGCTGAGATTACAGGCGTGTGCCACTATATCTGGCTGCTCTTTTATTTTCAACCAGTGAATTAATGACTTTCCTTTGTTCTTCTTAGTTGTTTTCAGCCTAAATGTCATTTCCCAGAGAAGTGTTTACAAAAATGAATTCAAGTCTTCCAATAATAATGTTTCATTGCAACCTTTATATTTCCTTCTTGGTTACTTGCAGCTCAGAGTCTTGACTAATTTATCTTGGGTGAATTAATCTTTCTAGGCCTTCATTTTCTCATCTGCAAGAGGGGATGGTGGTGAGGGATTAAATCGTAACTTGATTGCCTTCAGAACCCTGAGGTTCTAGGAAAGTGGCTACATGCGTCCAGCTATTTAAAGACCATGGTGGTGGCTGTCATCCTTCACACCCACTGGCCTCCAACCAGAGTCCTTGTCCCTTTTGAGCAGTATGCACCCACCCCAGGGCCAGGTCATTGGAGACAGCAGGGCTCCCTCTCTTGCAGAACCAGGTACATCTACATTGCTTTGTTTTTGAAGCAGACTCCTTCTTAGTCAGGGAATCTTGTGTTCAGTTTTGACCTGAACTCCAAAACACAAATGCACAGAGCGACCTGACCTGATTCGTGCCTCTCTTTTCATTTGCAGCTCTTGCTTGTTTTTAGAGTACAGGTATTTTAAGACTTGAGAAAATTGCAACTGGAAAATGTGGAATTCCTTTTTTTTTTTTTTTTGAAGTGTGAATTCATATTTTCTACTTGGATCGCAGTCAGGGTTAACTGGGGCAAGTGCACCCAATATCTCTGAATGTGTTTCTTTTTGGAGGAGGGGGCTGGGCTTTCGGTCGTCTTTCAGTGAGTAAAACAGAAGGAAGAGAAGTTTAGATTGCTGAATGACTTAACTTCTTGAAAGGTAATATCAAAGATGAGTGCCAGGACCCTTGTTTTTGTATTAACGAGGGGACTGAGGTCCACTGAGGGTCGGTCAGTCATTAGTGTCAGGTTCCTCATCTCCTCCTGCCTGTGGATATCACTGCTCGTAGGGAAACAGAGCCTGTGTGAAAGGCAGGCATCTCGAAGCCAGCATGGCTACCTTCACTATCACCTTCTTGCTGGTTGGGAGCAAACCCATGGCCTTGCCAGCTAGCCCCAACATAGCAAAACCGAGTCTTTGCATCCCTGTGCCCTGTCCAGTGAATTCTCCTCTGAAGCAGCAGGACCCCATCCTCCTCCCAGAGGATCTTGCAGCCAATAGCTCCCCACCTCCCACTGCTTCCCACACTGGAGGATGGGATCTGGCTCCTTAGAGAGCACATCTGCCAGCATGGCTCAGCTGTGCGGGACCCAGAGCTGGGGCCATGTGCAACTTGGAGAATTCACTTTCAACCACGTTATTCTATCACTGTTTTAATTGCTTATTTCACAGGAATTGAGCAATTATGGACAACATTGCTTTCAAGATATGTATGTAGCACAGGCTTAAAGTAGAACCGGCAAACACTGATGTCCCTTGGTCCTCTGCAGAGAGATACAGTTAAGGTGAATGGGTTCCCGATTCTTCTGCAGCAGCCAAGCACATCTTCTGTGAATTTTTCCACAAAACCTGTGGAACTTGGGAGTCTGAAGTTTTACTGCTTTGCCAGTGAACCAAGAGGCAGTGTGGGAAATGAAGTAATTAAACAATAAGCAATTTAGAAAAGTTGGTGGGTGGGGCGGCCTTGTGAGAACTGGTTTGGATAACTGGGGGCAAAGTTTGGAAAGCACAACAAGGTCAGTCATAGGAAAGGGAGGGTCTAGGCCACTTCATGATGAGGAGAAGGTTCTGGAAAAACAGAGTATAACAGGAAAGGCTTCGAATCTTTTGGGGAGTAAATCTTAGAATAGTTTTAATAGTTAAATGTTTAATATTTATGCAGTGTATTTTAAAATGCCAACGACGTTCTGCAGTGTTTTAGATCTAGCCTTTTGGCCTCTTTCTGCTTTAAACTTGATTTCCAGTCATTCATCTTTACTCTCAAGCTAGAAAGCTCCCAACGATTCATTTGCTGTGTCTTCTTAAAAGCACACTGCAATTTAGCTCTGCTTATGTCCTTTTAAAAATGGTCACATCATAAAAATGCTTACATCTCTCCTGCCACCCATTACACAATCCGGAAAAAGTAGAAAATATATAAAATGTAGGCAATATTATGGACTAAGTGATAATCTATTTTTTGTCAACGACTTTGGCAGCAACACAGAAAACAGCTTCTGAGATGCTGTGAAATCCTCATGTGACTCACCGAGGAAGCGAGCACGGGCTGTACTAAGTTCTGAGACATCTGCTAGAGCAAGCTTTATTTATACAGTTTGTGTTTAATTTGGGGACTTCGCAAACGAAGACCCTCACCACCGGCCTTGAGGCATGTGTTCCGTTTGCAAACAAAAGTCAGACGGGCCAAGTCGAATGAAAACTCCTGGTCCAGCTTCTGCCGGAGGGTGGAGAGCTGTGTGCACCCCCTGGGTCTCCACGGTTGATCACTAGGCGCGGGTGGGGACTTGGACTCAGGACTCTGACGTGGGACTACAGGACAGGCACTGTCCTGGGCACGCTGGGTTCACCTCCTGGGGATTCGGAGCCCATGTAGCATCAGCAAATGTGTATTATGATGAAGGCTTTGCTTTGCTGCAGTTAAGTTTTGGAGATGAACTTTGAAATTCTTGGATGGAATTTTGGAACCTCTGAGATTTTAGGGCAGATCTCTCACCCCTCATTTTTGCACAGCCCACACAGGTGAAGTTCCAGGGCAAACACACCCCAAGACTGGCTGTTCGTCAGGTCAGAGACTAAGGTTTTAGGCCATGTTCAATGTGTGATAGCTCTGCTCCCAGGAAAGTATGCCAAAATACACATTCACACCAGGACTTTGTTGTTAAAAAAAAAAAAGACAAATTTTAAAACAAATCCAATCAACTTCTAAATAAAAAAATGTTAAACTATTGCTTTAACCATTACTGATGAAACATGTGCCTCACCCTTTATCACTGATCCACATAACTTGTCACGACTTTAATGCTGAGTGGAAATTGTTATTTTTTTTCTTAAATTAGGCAAAGGGAAAAAGAGGAAGCAATATGGACCCAGTGCCAGTCTTACATCCTCCTAAGGTTTTAGGGAGCTCAGAGATAACAGGAAGGCTGCTTTGAAAATTCCAAAGATGAATCTGATCCAACGCCCATCCCTATTACTGTAGCCAGGGGCACAGAGCCTGCCGATCGCTCTGACTTGAGTCATGTGGGGTCTTGATGGTAACTTCGAGAACTGCCAAGGAAGAGAGAAGTCTCGGCACTGCTAAAGTAGAAGACACACTGAGAAAGAGAGAATAAATGCAAAACATAAAAATGAACAAATGTCTTCTACACACAGGATTGCTTTGAATAGACTCCTAGTTTCATTATCTGGAATAGCTCAAGCTGGAAGTAAAAACGAAAGAGCATGGGCTCCATTTACTGGTGTTAGTACCCTAATTAAAACTCCATTTATCTCTTGTTTAGACAGTTGCCTAAACAAATCTGCTGAGAGCACAAGTTCTATGTGGGCAGGATATGTCCACTTTGTTCCTTGCTGTGTCTTCTGCACAAAGCATAGGATGCTCGATAACCCCCTGAACTAAATGAACGAACAGTGATGTCCCTGTCTGCTCCCTCCTGCCTGTTCCATGCTGTAGATGAAGCTTCTTAAGTAGACCTCTCATCCTGCTTCCTGCTAGAAATCCTATGAGTGCCTTAGTAATACAGAATCTGTAAAATCCAGTGCAAGCTCAGTGAGCTGCAGTAGAGAACCCGGAACACATGGATGTCATCTTTCCATCCAGCCTCTACCTTGTTACTTCCTCCTCTCAAAGTGAATTCCCACTAGTTGGATGCAAACCTCAGCTCTTCTTGTCTATGTCTCTACTCACCCTGGCTCACTACTGTTCTTCATTTCCACTTGCTGAGGTGCAGGTTATATACTATGTCCTCTAAAACTTTTCTGAATTTTCCCAATAGCATGTAATTTTGTTCTCCTCTGAGCCTGCACTTAAGTTGTATTCCTCCTGCTAATGTGGCTCTTTGTGTACTGCAGGGAGATGGCTCAGGCTCTAAGGAATCCTGCAGTCTGCATAGCACTGAGAGTGGACTCTGGACCAACCACCTGCTAAACGGTTGGGTGAAGGGAAGTGAAAGGGTGGATATGCGGTATGAATTAGGGCTGCATTATTAAAGGGACTTCACATGATGAGAAACTTGCAAGGGTGATTCAAATTCTATTTAATTATTCGTTGGGTTGAAAATTTAGAGGTAATTATAATTTTGTGAGCAAGAAAAATGCTTTCTGGGAAAGTTTCAGTTTATGCAACCACGCCCCTTTGGCCAACTCCCTTTCTTTTACTTTATACCCCATGAATTTCCACAACCTAAGACTCCCAATTGGGAAAAGCTTGAGCCACAAGAAATAACATTTAATGGAAACCACTGAAGAAAATGCATATTAGAATTTCAAACCAGGGCAGAGTTTCTCAGTTCCTGAGGCAAATGCGGATGATTTAAAATTTCATCAAAGGGAACATACTTTCTGTTGAGTTCTGAAGAGAATAAGGGTTGAGAAGTCTGGAAAGCGCAGGAGAACTGGTGCCATTTTGTACTATGGCTTTTTTATCCTAGTTCAGGCACAATCTGACAGTTACTATAGGGTTATACTTTGGGTTGTTGGGTGCATTCAAATTCTAGAGTGGAGAACGGGGGAACGGTGGTGAATGGAATACAGCATTCCTGAGGAGAAGATCAGTGGAAGCACAGGAGATAGACGTTGCTGAGTGTGTCATGGGGACTCACTTGTCCCCTACTCCTGTTAGCTCAGACTCTTCCATCCACTAGGTTTTCTCTGTTCTCTCTGCCCTCTCCCCTCAGGTGGCCATGCTGATCTGTGCCGGCTTCCTGATTGCCTGGATCCCCTACGCAGTGGTCTCAGTGTGGTCAGCTTTTGGAAGGCCAGACTCCATCCCCATCCAGCTTTCCGTGGTACCAACTCTGCTGGCCAAGTCGGCAGCGATGTACAACCCCATCATCTACCAGGTCATTGATTACAGATTTGCCTGCTGCCAGAATGGTGGTTTAAAAGCAACCAAGAAGAAGTCTTTGGAAGACTTCAGGTAAAATCCCAGAAGTTAGAAAAGAATCATACATTCTTTGTTTCAGAAGGGGCTTCAAACCACTAGGATGTGCCATCTCCCTAGGGTTGGAGTCCATGGCATGAGAGCAATGTAGAGAGGAGTTTATTTTCCAATCATCAAAAGTCCTGAAACTGAGTACCAGATATATGGGGGTTGGATGATGGGGTAGGTAGCAAGAAAAGTGATTCTAGTTTTGAGCTTGGAGTAGCCAAGGTACTGAGCTCTGTCTTTTGGAGCAACTAGGATGTATCCATGGTTTGAGCTTCCTTCTCAGGGACCACATCCTTTTAAAAAAAATTTTTTCCATTAAGTTTATTGGTACATTTTAGGTATAAAATACAGTTACATTCATCATTGGGATCTTGTGTCTTTACATGACGTATCTTGGTTCTTATTTCTTCCCCATTCCCCTGCCCTCCCTTCACCCCCTCCACTCTTCCATATTTACAAATACTTTGTTTCCATTTTTTCCTTTTCTCATATTGTTTCTTTACTCTTCTTTCCTTTCCCCTACCCCTCCCACTTCCCCTGCTCCTTTAGACCTTTTCTTCCTGTTACACAATATCAATTATACATTTTT